ACCCTACACAACTATGTTGTCAGGGTATTATAGCTTTGGGCCGCCCCAAGAGTTTGTAACGCCGCGAAATATTGGTCCTATTGGTTGACCTTTAAATTGATACCAATTGTATTGTCGTATGTACTCGGATGTGGCAGTTACACTTAAAGGCTAAGCAGAATGCTCGCGTTGAGCCATCCGTCGCGTTATATGTTATCGAAAATACAACAACCACAAGGAAACGATATTCGTTTGTGTTATCGTTTCCTCGTTCAGATATTATTTAGTAACCTATTACCTCACTAGAGGGCGGGAATAGCGCCGGTCGCTTTGACATTTTCCATGAGGTTCCAGTGATGGTGTTTTTTGTGTTTTTTATGGTCGATCGATTACAAAACAATCCACGGTGAAAGGACTCTGGACAAGTAATTAGAAGGCCTGTACTGAATATTAGTAATATTTTTTTTGGCCTCTAGTCGGTCAAAAGGGTGCAAATATCGCGAAATATTGCCCAAGCTCAGAATATAGAACCACAGAAAAATAGATTTTCATGGAAGTTGTGTGGGGTATCATATGGTCGGCCCCGTCCGACTATACTGCTCCGCTGATCCCTGGTTCATAGTAGGATGGGTTTTCCGAGAGTGGGCAACTAAACCGACGCCTCAACCCATTTTTTATAGTTCTTATGGGTGAACTCGTGGCACATATTAGCTCACTATTTCAACGGGTAATGAAAATAGCTACCCCAGGTGGGACCACGGGGAGGTCAGTATCCCAAATTGAGATGAAAGAGGAACCAAGATAAGCCTGGACTTCGCCATATTAAAGCCAATCAGAGCCGTTGCTTGGTATCTATCATCCCCTATGCCACCCAATATAGGCCTGTGAAAAATTTATTTAAAAAAATATATTTTTTGGATTGGTCTCAGAAAAAATGTCCACGTTTCTTATTGAAATTTAACATAAATAAAGTCCTCCAAATCGCTCCTCTCTAAACGAAGTTGCTAATGTCTCTTCAAATAAATCTAAATTAAGTATCCCAAAAAAGAAAATATAACGAAAATTGTTCCATAAAACAATGCCCGAGAAGTCCTTAACAAATAGAAGGCTTTCAGCGACAATTAATGGCCAGTTGTTGTGCCACGACAAATTTTAACTACTACCGACAAAAAAAAATACACAGCATTGTCCAAATGTATGTATTTGGGCATTACAATTGTTTTGGCATGTGCTATAAATGTTATTTTTTCCATACACTCGAAGAAAAATATCCGATAAAAACTAGGATTCCTATTCGAAATGAAAATCTCCCGCTAAAAGGAAGACCTCTTCGTATTCTATGTGTGAGAAACCTTTGAGTGTCCTTCTTAACTAACATTTTTCCTTGGGTGTATGGAACTGCATATTAATTCATTCCGGCGAATAACAAAAAACAACATCACAATAAAATATGGTCCAAACATCTGATGAATAACTGCGAAAAAAATTGTCGTAGAAATGCAAAAATGAGAAATCCTGAAAAATATGAAACGTAAAACAGAAAAAAAAAACGTTAACACAAATATTTACGTAATGGATTTATAATGTTTCACGTTCTAATTGCTGGGGATAACAAATTCAGTGCTTGCTTACGTGTCTGGGCAAAATATTTCGACATTTTTTTTACGCGAGGTAAAAAAATAAGCCCAAAATGGAAATGGAACGAAATTAGAGGCATTTAAATAAAAGTGAAACACCAAAAAAAAAACAAATTAAAAAAATCTGAGGTCTATCCAAGGCGTGGATTTTTAAAAATTTTTTTTCAGAGGCCATAGACAGGCGTGGATTTTTTAAATAATTTTTTCAGAGACCCTAGACAGGCGTGAATTTTTTAAAAAAAATTTCAGAGGCCATAGACAGGCGTGGATTTTTTAAATAATTTTTTCAGAGACCCTAGACAGGCGTGGATTTTTTAAAAAAAATTTTCAGAGGCCATAGACAGGCGTGGATTTTTTAAATAATTTTTTCAGAGACCATAGACAGGCGTGGATTTTTTAAATAATTTTTTCAGAGGCCATAGATAGGCGTGGATTTTTTTAATAATTTTTTTTCAGAGGCCGTAGACAGGCGTGGATTTTTTAAATATTTTTTTTTTCAGAGGCCATAGATAGGCGTGGATTTTTTAAATATTTTTTTTTCAGAGGCCGTAGACAGGCGTGGATTTTTTAAATATTTTTTTTTCAGAGGCCATAGACAGGCGTGGATTTTTGTAGGTGGCGTAGGGGATGATAGATACCAAGCAACGGCTCTGATTGGCTTTAACATGGCGAAGTCCAGGCTTATCTTGGTCCCTCTTTCATCTCAATTGTGGACACTGACGTCCCCGTGGTGTCACCTGGGGTAGATATTTTCATCACCCGATGAAATAGTGAACTAATATGTACCGCGAGTTCACCCATAAGAACTATAAAAAAATGGGTTGAGGCGTCGGGTTAGTTGCCCACACTCGGAAAACCGAACCTACAATGAAAAAGCAAAGAAAAAGAAAACCAAACCCCCACCTAATGTTGACGACCCTCGCACACGTATAAAGGACGACGATCTGCGAATCTGCACTTGGAATGTGCGCACATTGTACAGAACAGACGCAGTGTTCGCTTTGGCGGTTGTACTCAAGAAGTACAAAGCCGATATTATTGCCTTACAGGAAACGTGATGGAAAGGTACAGGCGTAAGTAAATCAAAATGTTACGCCCTGTATTATAGCTGCCATGAAACGAGACATGAATTTGGCTGCGGATTTATGGTTAATAGGAGAATAAAAGACCTCGTCTTCAGATTCACTCCAGTAGATGAGCGAATTGCTATAATCCGCATAAAAGCGAAGTTCTTCTACATCAGTCTTATTTGCGCCCATGCTCCGACCGAAGATAAAGATGAGCAGACCAAAGACATATTTTATGAGCGCCTAGAAACAGCATATGATCGCTGCCCTGGCCATGACATTAAAATTCTGCTAGGAGATTTTAATGTAAAAATCGGAAGGGAAAATATATTTAACCCCACCGTAGGAAAATTTAGCCTTCATGAAGAAACATCCGACAACAGCATGAAGTTGATTGACTTCGCGGCAGCAAAAAACATGGTAGTTAGCAGCACCAGATTCAAGCATCTCGATATACACAAGGCCACTTGAATTTCTCCCGATCGAACAACGAGAAATCAAATCGATCATGTTGTGATAGACGGAAGGCATTCATCCAGTGTTTTAGACGTTCGATCGATTCGAGGAGCGAATATCGATTCGGATATTAACTTGTGGCAGCCAAAGTACGCACCCGTCTTAATGTTGCAGCAAAGATGCGATCTAACACAACACGGAAATTTGACGTCGAAAAGCTGCAAACACAACAGATAGCAAAAGCCTACTCCGCTCAACTTACCCAACTGCTTGACGAAAGCACTTCTTGTCCCGATAATAATATAGAAGCACAATGTCTGAGAATTGCCCACTCCCTACAAACTGCAGCAAAAGCAACACTTGGGTACCAAAAAACCACCATCAAGAAATCCGTGGTACGATCAGGAGTGTATAGGGCAACCCTGCGGATAGTAGCAACACGTAATACGATGGAGAACTGTCGGGAGAAAAGGAGAGAGAGGAGAAACGTATTTTCAGAAAAAAGAAGAAAGAACAAGAAAAACGTGAGCGTAAGCAAATCGAGATGTACAGGAGTCAGAATGAAGTCCGAAAATTCTACCAACGGGTAAAACACCAAATCGAAGGCTTTGGTGCAGGCACATCGTCCTGTAGAGATGAAGAAGGAAACCTGGTGACACATACAGACTGCGTGCTGAGGATCTGGAAGGAGCATTTGAAAAACTTCTGGTATCAAATAGTAGCGGTGAAGAGGATACTTCAGAACCAATAATCGATGACAGTATAGAGAGTATACCACCTAGCCAAGATGAAGTCAGAATAGCAATCAATCGGCTGAAGAATAATAAAACAGCAGGTGCCGATGGGTTACCAGCCGAATTATTCAAGACTGGTGGTCAGATGCTAATAAGGAGCATGCACCCAATGATTGGAAGTTCAGCATCCCGTGTCCCATGCACAAAAAAGGAGACAAAACGATATGTGCCAACTATAGAAGAATAAGTCTCCTTCCCATCGCATATAAAGTGCAATCCAGCGTACTGTGTGAACGACTGAAGCCAATGATCAATGATATTATTAGACCATACCAATGCGGCTTCAGAACTGGCAAATCCACCATTGACCAGATTTTCACTTTGCGCCAACTCCTGGAATAAGCCTCCTTACCACCTATCGTCATATAAAGTGCTATCCAGCGTGCTGTGTGAACTTAAAGTGGCACAAGGTCAGCAGTTAAGCCAATGGTCAATGACAGGACAGTTTGTCGTGTGATCTTTTTAATGCGGAAAAGGTTCAGACCAAAGGTGAATAGAAATGACACCATGTGACCAAACTTTTCATTCTGCGCCAAATCTTCGAAAAAAACCCACGAAAAACACATCGACACATTCCACCTATTCGTCGACTATAAAACCGCATTCGACAGCCCTATCGGTGGATCTGAGGCGTAGATTTTTTAAATATTTTTTTCAAGGGCCTATATTAGGCGTGGATTTTTTAAATATTTTTTTTCAAGGGTCCATCTGAGGCCTACATTTTTTAAATATTTTTTTTCAAGGCTCCATCTGAGGCCTACATTTTTTAAATAATGTTATCAAGGGTCTATTTGAAGCGTAGATTTTTTAAAAAAATTTTTCAAGGGTCCATCTGAGGCCTACATTTTTTTAAAATGAATAAAAACATTTTTTTTATAAAAATCGGAAATTTATTTATTAGCTAAAAATTCGTTGCTTACACACCTAGAAGACTCTCTCAGCTTACGAACTAACCTTAAATTTAGGGACTTAAATACACAAAAAACAATGACTTAATTAACAAATGGCATTACAGATGGCAGTGTCAGAATGGGCTCTCAGCTGGCTACATTAGATCATCCTCAGGATCACTTAAAACACACTGGTCCCACCTTGAAACCAAAGGCTTGGTTCTCCTTGGTATAGTCGAGAGGCAGGAAATCATTGATGGGCAGATAATTCAAACGCTTGGATGTGATCGTCAAAACTGTGGATCCAGAGGCTTGAGGGTTCTGCAAAGAAAACAAAGAAACCATTTTTTCAGGACCCACTTTAGTTTAAAAATAAATAGTGGCTACTTACCGCACATTCATCCTTCACCACCTGCACCTCCACTGCCTTACTTTCCCTTCCGATTTCCATTTCATTGTCACCCAAAAATGTCAAAGCCTTGTGATAGCTGTTCTCCTTCCGATCATGCCAGGCCACCGAGTTACGACAATAGTAGGTGAAATTTTGCACCGCCACCTGATAGGACATTTTCAAGAATGTCAATTGGACCGTACCCACACCATCATAGGTTATCTTCGAGCCACCCTGAATTTTCGAAAACCATTGCTTATCCTCTACCGATTTCCATGGAACCAATGGCATTTCCGCCGTATGGACATCAGGATAGATGCAGGTCTCCCCACCGCTGGTCATATTACAGTACACATGAATAGCATCATCTGGCATACCACCATTCGGATCAATCCAATACCAATCATTTTCAAAGTGCGGATGGGCAAAATGTAGATCTCGGCAGGTCCGACCAGGATTTTCTTGCGTGCCTGTTGGTTTACGTATCCGATCCATTTCCTGGCGTATGGAATATATGGCATTGTACATATCGACAATTTTATCATTGGCCTCGGTGACCTCATGTTTTGGCTTCTTCTTTTTACGTCGTAACTTCTTACGTTCCTCACTGTTTTTGTGGTGTGCCGGAGCTGCCACGGTTTCCACTCCCATCAATTCATTGAAGTCGTCATCATCCTCAGCGAAGGCTGCAAAATCCACATCTCTTCTTCTTCTCGTCTCAGCCTTGGTGCTCGAGAATTGCTGCATTTGGAAAAGTAACTCCGGTGGTATCATAGGAGCCTCGGCTGGGGCTCCTGGTGGTCCAGGAGGGCCAGGTGGACCAGTATCTCCTTTATCTCCCGCCCGACCATCCACACCCTTGGGACCGGTGGGGCCATGCATTCCTGGCAAACCAGGAGGACCATCATTGCCTTTAGGCCCCACCAGACCCCTTGGTCCCGGATCACCTTTAACACCCTCAGGACCTTGTGGTCCCCTTGGTCCTCTATCTCCTTTCTCGCCCTGTTCACCTTTCATGCCCACCATACCAAGTTCACCGCGATGCCCCTTAGGTCCTCTTCTGCCACGATCTCCTTTAGGACCTGTTGGACCGGGTAAACCAATTTGTCCGTCCTTACCAGGGGCACCCACTTGGCCTGGAGCACCTGTTTCTCCAACCAAACCAGGCAGACCTCGTTTACCGGCAGGACCTTGCAAACCCACTGGACCTGGAGGACCAGACATACCAATAGGGCCCTCTGGGCCCACATCTCCTTTATCTCCCTTCTCGCCTTGTACACCGGCTGGACCTTGCATTCCTGCAGGGCCTTCAGGACCTTGTTTGCCTGGTGGTCCCGTCTCACCCATTCTACCTTCCGGTCCTTGTTCTCCTGGAGGACCTGGTTCACCCGGTTTACCATCTTCACCCTCGGGACCGATATCACCTTTAGGTCCCACCAAACCCGGTTCTCCTCTTGCTCCTGGGAAACCCCTAGGGCCCATTTCTCCCTTTGGACCCTCCACACCTTGTATGCCAGGTTTGCCTGGGGCTCCCATGGGTCCCGACTTGCCTTCTTCACCTTTAGGTCCCATTACACCCTTCTCGCCTTGCCTGCCCATGGGACCAACTGGACCTGGTGGGCCAGGGGGACCATCAGCACCCGTTAAGCCTGGGGAACCTCTAGGGCCAGGTTTACCCTGATGACCATGGGCACCTGAAACACAGAAAATTATAGAAACCGATTTAAAAAAAATTCCAACCTCACCCCTTACCTTTAGGTCCTCGTCTTCCCTGTTCTCCGGGCGGGCCTGGAGGTCCCACAGGACCCATTAAGCCATCATCACCACGTTCTCCTTTAATTCCTGCGGGACCTGGCAAGCCTTGCAGGCCAGGTTTTCCTGGCAGACCTTGGATACCCGGTTGGCCATCCTCACCCTTAATACCTCTGTGGCCCTGATCACCTGGTGGTCCTTTTTCACCAGGCGAACCAGGGGTGCCAGGTTCTCCACGAGGTCCCTGGGGACCGGCTGGACCAGCGGGACCCTAGAAATAAAACAATCATTAAATGTTCTGCAACTCCTCCCCTCTCTTCAGCCTCCTGACTTACCGTTTCACCTTGATTACCCTTGAGGCCCTTTTCTCCCGGCATACCAGCATCTCCCTTATCACCATCTTCACCCGGCGTACCAGTGGGACCTGGTGGTCCTGGTAGACCTCTCAAACCAGGTGTACCATCTCTGCCAATCGGACCTACGGGACCTTTTTCTCCCACTTCACCTTTAGCTCCCGGAGCTCCAGGATTTCCTGGTGGACCATTATTACCCTGCGGTCCAGGAGGACCCATTTGCCCAGGGGCGCCATCTTGTCCTTTATCTCCTCTTAATCCGGGTGGACCCATTACGCCTTGCTCACCTTTTAGACCCGGTAAACCAGGTTGTCCTTGATGTCCACGTTCGCCAGGGAATCCGGGTAAACCAGTGGGACCTTGGGGACCCGGATTGCCTGTAGGACCTGGTGGACCAGGAGGACCCTCTTTGCCGGATTCTCCTGGTAAACCAGGTTCTCCCGGTTGTCCTGGTAAACCAGGTATACCAGGCTCACCAATTGGACCCATTTCTCCAGGAGCGCCACGAGGTCCAATTACGCCAGCTTCACCCATTGGACCGGGTTTTCCAGGTTCGCCCTGTAAAAATGGAGGAATTATGTTTTGGTTTTGTTGTTGTAATTGACGAAAAAACTTACCGGTTGTCCCCTCTCACCCGGTGGTCCTGCGGGACCAGGTTTTCCATCTACACCTGGACTACCAGGCATACCAATAAATCCTCGCGGACCTTCTGGACCCTGGGGACCCCGTTCACCTTGAGGTCCCGGTGGACCAGGCTGTCCGGAATCACCCTTAGGTCCAGGATTGCCATCACTACCTCGTCTACCCCTTGAGCCTCTAAAACCTCTGGGTCCCATTTCACCTCTGGCCCCTTGGGGACCTTGAGCGCCGCGTTCTCCTTTCATGCCAACTGGCCCAGCTGCACCTGTGGCTCCTTTGTCGCCCTTGTCACCAGATGGTCCTGGATATCCCTGAAAACCCTGAGGACCTTGTTTTCCTTTTTCTCCCGGTAACCCAGGTGGTCCAGTTTCTCCCCGAGGACCTTCAAAACCCTTTGGACCTTCAGGACCCTCGGGACCGGGAGCTCCAGCCAAACCGGCTGGACCCCTCTCACCAGGTGGACCCATTTCTCCCTTTTCGCCATCCATACCACGATCTCCTGTGTCACCTTTGTCGCCTTGTGGACCTCGCGGACCTTCATCTCCCTTTGAGCCTCGTGGTCCAGGAAAACCTACTGGACCCTGGGGACCCTGAACTCCTTGATCACCTTTGTGGCCGGCAGGTCCAGGTAGACCAGGCACACCAGGAGAACCATCTGCACCAGGGAGACCTGGTAAACCAGGTTTACCGCTAGGGCCGGGTATGCCGGAGGGGCCAGTTTTGCCTTGGGGTCCAGGAGAACCTGGAGGACCGGGTGGTCCCTGTTGACCTGGAGCTCCTGGTTGGCCGCTGGGACCTGTGTTACCTTTGGGGCCAGCTGGACCTTCATTGCCCTGGGGACCCGGATTGCCGGTGGGCCCAGGAAAGCCTCGAGGGCCAGGGAAGCCACGAGGACCCTAAAATTGGAGACAGGGTTATATTTATTATATATATTAGTTATGTAGGTTTTGACTTACCAATTCACCTGGCAGACCGGGCAAACCAGGGGGTCCATCCTCTCCGGGGTGACCTTCAACACCTTGCTGACCCTTTTCGCCTCTTTGACCGGGAGAGCCTCTGTGACCCTTTTCACCTGGTATACCCATCGGTCCCATGGGACCAACTTCACCCTTAATGCCTTGGGGACCCTGAGGACCCCTCTCACCATCACGACCCGAACGACCACGTCTGCCTTCTCGTCCCTGAGGACCGGTTGGTCCACGTAAACCACGCAAACCCTGTCGCAAATAAATGTTCTAAATGAAATTCACTAATTTGAGGGGAGAGGGCCGATCTAAGACTTACTGGTTCTCCAGCATCACCAGGTTCTCCCTTTTGACCCCGGGGACCAGGTGTGCCCGGTGGACCGGGTGGTCCTGTCAAACCCATTGGACCTTCGGGACCACGTAAAGCCATCTGGGGGAAAGGAAAAAATAAAACATGGTTAGAAAGTTATTCGGAATGGGGGAAGGAGTTCGGAACCTACCATATGCTGGGAAATCATTTGCCTTAGTAGGTCTGCCTGATTGTCAGGACCCTTTTCATTGCCATTGTTGAGAGTCTGAAAATAATTTTGAGGTTAAAAATGGGTAAGCAGAAGTTGATTTTTTTCGAACCCACCGGCACCACAAAAACATGACCCGGCGGACCCTGTATACCATCTGTGCCCGACAAACCATCCCTTCCAGGTTCTCCTTTAGGGCCTCGTTCACCTGGTGGCCCAGGCACGCCGGTATAACCTCTAGGTCCTGGATAACATGGCTGTCCTCCGGTTTCGTATGGTCTGCCAATTGCGGATCCACTTGAATTTCCACTAACCACTGGATCCTCGACGCCTACTCCTATATCTACGGTTGCTGGCAAATTTCCCGAATTCGGTTCTTTCGAATTTTTCGTCGTCTTATTTTTCTTTTTCGGATTTTTTGAAGTCGAAGTTCCATTTTTGCCGGGTATCTGCTCAGCATCTAAATCTTCCGAGGTGATTTCAGGTTCGTTGTCTTCAGAGGTAAATAGCGAACCATAATCCAAATCCATTGTGGCTTCTTGGTTGCCAGCCGAATGGGAACCTTGAATTGTGGAACCTGTTCCGATTAATGTTGGTTGATTTAAGACCGGGCCTAATAAAGCATCGCCTCCTTCAATGTCTATGAAATTTTGACCACCGCTAGTACCCACAGAATCTCCGCCAGATATTTGCCTATTTTCACCTGCAAAGGTAGCCATGTTCGGAATTCCGCCAGTACCCAAGGAACCACCTCCAAACACTTGGGTATTTCCACCAATAGAGCTGGAAATAATTTGAGGGCCTCCAGCACCATTTACACCTCCAGTGGAGGTGTAAAAACTTTCACCACCAAAAACTCTACCTCCACCTCCCGCTCCTCTTCCTCCTCCAGATGAAAAACTTGAACTGGAACTTGAATGAATATAACCAGGACCCGACATTAGCAACTCATTCGCCAGCTCCCCAAAGCCATCGTCACCATAACCTCCCCGGCATTCCGGAACATATTTCATACAGACATCATAACCCGCCTGCGGGGTATCGAAAATGGCCATCATTTGTACGTCACCAATAAAGAAGCCGTCATCGTTGCTCATCTGAACGCCAGTCAAAATCAAACCATTTGTCGAAATGGTACTACCCATCGAACGTTCCACGCGACGTGTAACCTGCTTCGTACAATCCAAATTTAGCGTGGCCGAGGTTCCCTTAACACTCAACCCAATACGATGCCATTTCTGATCATCGATTCCGATACCAAAATTAATATCATTATGTTGATTAAATCCTGCATCGATTTGTTCGTAACTCAGTTTGATTTCAGGACCGATACTTAGCGAGAGGACTTCTTCACTTTCATCGGAATATATCGTAAATATGGGCGCTTTCGTTTGATTCGATCGTTCGTTACGCAATGCCAGGACAATGGAAAAATCCGATGGGAAGCCATCGGGAAAAACACTGGAGGTCTGTACCGTCAATATGGCATCCTTTGTGATACTGTAGGCGGGTGACTTATGGGTCTGGTAGGCATTTCGCTCATCACCGCAAATACCAGGTGCAGCTTGTATACCGGGTGGTAGGTCTGGCAGACCAAATTCTTTTATGAGGTCGACATAATTGCCTGGAAAAAAAGAAAAGCAATTTAAGGGTCATTATTTTTAAAAATCGTTTTTAAGGGTCACCAATAGGCGTGGATACCCTTAGACGTGGATTTTATAAAAAAATATGTTTCAAGGTCAAGCATTGGCGTGGATTTTTTAAAAAAAAAATTTCAAGGGTCACCAATAGGCTTAGATACCTTTAGACGTGGATTTTATAAAAAAATATGTTTCAAGGTCCAGCATTGGCGTGGATTTTTTTAAAAATATTTTTTCAGGGGGTGACTCCTGAAAAAGGCGTGGAATTTTTAAAAAAATATTTTTTCAAAGTACGAAATGGGACGGTTTTTTTTTAAATCCAGCTTTAACGAATATCAATTCAAAAAACTTCACCTTCAAACATTATGTATGTATGTGTGTATTTGCATTTGTATATATGTAAAAATACATTGTATGTGTCTGTGCCAAATCAATTATGATTTCTAGTCCACTTTTTCTTCGGAATGCCTTCTATCACTGTCAGTCTGCTTCTATGAAGAAAGTGGTACACCGCTGGACTTCAAACTATTTTATGACGTATCGTGTGCGTCAGAACTGAAGGTTTAATTAATTTGATTTCCATATATTTAAATAAACTCTCAGAGAAGCTGTATAACGGCCGTTATACTACTATGTGAGTATAGGACCAATATTTCCTGGCGTTACAAAAAATAAAAAAGTTAAACGAAGGAAAATTTTGGCGAGACCTGTATTCTGAAAATATGTTTTTTATCATTCACGAATGCCATCCATTGAGGTGAGAAAAAATACCAAAACAGAGGTTTCCGACGAATATTAATTACCTAGTACTGCCAGATGTCGTTGATCTGTTCACAAATGATGCTGTACTATCAACAGCCATCGATTGTAAGCAATAAGGCTAAGCACAGCACTCAAATTCAAGATCGACATAATAGTCTTGGAATGCCACTAGAAGAAGTTACCAATATCATTACTTAGCTCACGCCAAAGAACGAACAGCTATCTGGCGCCCAACGGCAGAAATTCACCATAAAAATTTTCAGAAGAGCAAAAGTGTGTAGGAGATTCACATCCGGCCAGTTGAAGAAAGAACTGCAGCAGCTGGTCAAAGATTTTAGTAAACAATAATATCGTACATCACATACTGTAGGAAGGGACCCCATGGATGTTAACTTTCAACAGACATCGAAATTCATACGAAGTTGACTGCAAGAACTGTCTTTCCATGGGAGAAGATCGAACTAAAGACTTTCAGGAAGGTAGACACTCTTTAGCTAGGGTAAGCAGTAACAGTATTTAGAATGGGTTCATACTTAAGATGAGTTGGGCTCCAAATAATGGCACTGATTGTCAAGAAAAAGTCCTACACAAAGAGGATAACAAAATGGAAATCTAAAATATTCTTCAACACAATCCCTCATATTGGCTGATTGAAAATATTCCTTAAACATGAGAAAAAGTCATTACGTTCCGCCGACCACCATCATAGCGCGTACATTCCAAATTCATTATGTGGAATATGCCACTGTAAATTATATTCTAATAGAGTCTTTATTCAGAGAATCAATCTACAGACACTCAGGTTGAAAAGCTGGGCTTGAATTTTTAACAAACCTATAAGAGGGTGGACCATTATATGGGGATTATTTCAATACACCAGTTTATATTTAATCAGTGAGCGTAGTGAGAGTAGAACGGGGCCGACTATATGATGCTCTACACAACTACCACGAAAATCGAACCTTTTGCGGTTCTATATTCTGAGCCTGACAACATTTCGCGATATTTTCACCCTCTTGATCGATTATAGGGCAAAAGCTCCACTTTCTAACTCCGGCATATTTTCCAAATCGTTTTTTCTCGAGGTCAAATTTAGGTCACTTTAGGTTTTGATTGGTTTGACCCTCGGAGTATTAACCGATCATCGTCTAAACAGTCGCTCAAAGTATCCTCTTCACAGTGTAAAATGCGTGATGTTCTGCATACAATAATGGCCTCAAGGAAATCTGAATAAAATAAATTTTCCGATTCATTGCATCCCCCTAAATATCATCTAAACATCTCTGAAACTGATAGGCGTTACCCTTGACCATAACTGGAACCTCATGAAAATGTTCAAAGCGATCAGCGCTATATTTTTCTGACCTCTAGTGTGGTAATGGGCACTAAATAATATATGAATACTTAAGCACCTATAAATATTTAAGTATAACTACCACATCCGAATACATACGACAATATTATTGTTATCAATTTATAGGTCAACCACCCTTCTTGGGTATACTATCAATTTCTCGGGTTTATGTCCTTCAGGAATAAATATATACATCCCAGAATACACATTTTGTAATTTTGCACACAAAAATCGAGGTCCATTTTATTTGGTAAATATTGACCGATCATTATGAAAACAGACAAGCTTCCGGTGTTCCGGTCATAATTGTGGCCTTTAGAGCGACCACAAAGACCGACAAAAAGGTTAATATTTGGTCATTTCATCCCCTAAATATTAACGGATCATTACCAATAACTATTGAGGTCTTCTTTGGCCAGAACCCATCCCACATGCAAAATTTCGTGACCATTGATCCATAACTGTGGCCTGTAAGGTGTTTACAAATTATAGTGGACAGACGGACTCACATGTCTAGATCGACTCGAGCATATAAAAAAGGTCTTTATGTTCCGAAGGCCGAACTTTTTATACCCTCTAGTAGTATTTGACATCATACAATAAGAAGGACAAATGTTATATTGAACATTTTCCTCATAGATTTCTTGCCCTATCCAATATTCTGGAATGTGAATGAAATAATTAATCTTTAAACAATTCAGTCTCCAAAATGTTCTATAAAACAGTGAGCGGAGCAGTAAAGTCGGACGGGGCCGACCATATGATATCCTACACAACTTCCACGAAAATAGAACTATATGTGGTTCTATATTCTGAGCTTGGGCAATACTTTGCGATATTTGCCACCCTCTTGACCGACTAGAGGTAAACAAATACTACTAATATTCAGTACAGTCCTTCTAGTTTTCGGTCCACTTCATCCCAATATTGTTATCTGATAATCACCGAAAAATATAGGAGTTGTCCTGGACCATACCTGGATCCTCATGAAAGAAATCAAAGCGATCCGTGCTATACTTTGAGCAACGATTTTTTCCACAATTTTAGAACAAATTTAATGCAACTATCCTAAATGGGATATGCACAAAATTTGACATCGCTATATCCTTGTATTCGGGAGGTACAGTACATTCTTTCGGAAAAATTAAAGTCCAATATCAAGAAAGCCAAATGCAAAATCAACAGAAAAATAATTCTCTATATTCATTTTTACAAGAATCAAATTGGCCAGAACCCATCCTACATGCATAATTTCGTGAAGATTGGTCCATAACTGTGGTCTGTATCGTGTTTACAAATTATAATGGACGGACACACATGTCTAGATCGATACAGCTAGTCGACATATGACTATCGGTATACTTAAAGGTGGGTCTAGGACAAAATATTTCGCAGCGCTGCAAACTCTTAAGGCTGCACAAAGCTATAATACCCTGACAACATAGTTGTGTAGGGTATAAACATTCAAGCCTCAGTTGATCATTAAAAATTCTGAAAAACATTTCTTTAAAAAATCAACGATTATTTGGGAAAATCCTTAAATAATCTAATAATCAGTAAGGAAAGTAGTAAAGTCGGACGGGGCCGACTATATGATACCCTTCAATACTTTGGGTATATTCAACAGATGGAAGACTAACAGACGTCGCATTTTGGAAGGACCATTAATATGAAAATAAACAGGTCTTTCTGCAACCTATAAATTTTGGTCAGGACAAAATTATGTAAATTAATTTAAGGGTCGTACCTAATTTATTGCGCTCCGTACAAAAATACTCACCTTTTCACCTTTACAGAGTTCGGCCACATTTTGAGTTCTTTATTATAAAAAAACATATAGGGATTTTGCACCATTTACTTAAAATCGGACAAAAATATATATGGGATCTATATCTAAATCTGAACCGATTTTCATGAAATTTTACACACATCCTTCTAGACCTAATTCATTACGCTGTGCCAAATTTCGGGCAAATCGAAAGATATAAATGAACTTCTGTACACCATTTACCTTAAATCGGACGAAAATATATATGGAACTATATCTAAATCTGAACCGATTTTCATGAAACTTAACGCACATCATTCTAGACCTAATTCATTACGCTGTGTCAAATTTCGTGCAAATCGAAAGATATATAGGGACTTTGGTGCACCATTTACATAAAATCGGACGAAAATATATATGTGAGCTATATCAAAATCTGAACCGATTTTTATGAAATTTTACACACATCATTCTAGACCTAATTCATTACGCTGTGCCAAATTTCGTGCAAATCGAAATATATAAAGGAACTTTTGTACACCATTTACCTTAAATCGGATGAAAATATATATGGGAGCTATATCTAAAACTGAACCGATTTTTATGAAATTTTACACACATCATTCTAGACCTAAATCATTACGCTGTGCCAAGTTTCGTGCAAATCGAAAGATATATAGGGACCGTTTACATTAAATCGGACGAAAATATATATGGGAGCTATATCTAAATCTGAGCCGATTTTTCCCAATTTCAATAGGGTACGTCCTTGGCCCAAACAAGTGACCTATGCCAAATTTCATCCAATTCGGATCATATATGCGACCTGTACTTTGTTTACAATTTATCATGGACAGACAGACAGACGGACGGACATGCCTATATCGACTCAGAAAGTGATTATATGCATATTCTCAAAATGAATCTATCTCGTTTCCTTTTGCCTGTTACAAACATATGCACAAAGACATAATACCCTGTACCACAGAGTGGTGAGGGGTATAAAAATCCACGGTTATGGAACCACGGTAGTAACTGACTTCCATGAGTCGCCCTGATGGCCCCATCTTGTCTAGGGTCCCAAAAATTTGCAGAAGGGT